ATACCTGTTTACCTGGAGTTTTACCTGGAGAGAGTTCCGGGGGTCAACGCCCCCGCGGCCCGGTCTGTGACCAGGCCTCCTGGTGGATCAGAGCCTGATCAACCAGGCTGTTACTGCTGGCTGCACGCAAACCAACGTACGAGCCACAGCCCGGCTGATCAGGAACCGACTTTAGGTGCTTGTCCAGTGCCAGCTTGAAGACTGCCAGGGGTCTGTTGGTAATCCCCCTTATGTATGCTGGGAGGCAGTTGAACAGTCTCGGGCCCCTGACACTTATTGTATGGTCTCTTAACGTGCTAGTGACACCCCTGCTTTTCATTGGGGGGGATGTTGCATCGTCTGCCAAGTCTTTTGCTTTCGTAGCGAGTGATTTTCATGTGCAAGTTCGGTACTAGCCCCTCTAGGATTTTCCAGGTGTATATAATCATGTATCTCTCCTGCCTGCGTTTCAGGGAATACAGGTTCAGGAACCTCAAGCGCTCCCAGTAATTGAGGTGTTTTATCTCTGTTATGCGCTCCGTGAAGGTTCTCTGTACATTTTCTAGGTCAGCAATTTCACCTGCCTTGAAAGGTAATGTTAGTGTGCAGCAATATTCCAGCCTAGATAGAACAAGTGACCTGAAGAGTGTCATCATGGGCTTGGCATCCCTCGTTTTGAAGGTTCTCATTATCCATCCTGTCATTTTTCTAGCAGATGCGATCGATACAACGTTATGGTCCTTGAAGGTGAGATCCTCCGACATGATCACTCCCAGGTCTTTGACGTTGGTGTTTCGCTCTATTTTGTGGCCAGAATTTGTTTTGTACTCTGATGAAGATTTAATTTCCTCGTGTTTACCATATCTGAGTAATTGAAATTTCTCATCGTTGAACTTCATATTGTTTTCTGCAGCCCACTGAAAGATTTGGTTGATGTCCGCCTGGAGCCTTGCAGTGTCTGCAATGGAAGACACTGTCATGCAGATTCGGGTGTCATCTGCAAAGGAAGACACGGTGCTGTGGCTGACATCCTTGTCTATGTCAGATATGAGGATGAGGAACAAGATGGGAGCGAGTACTGTGCCTTGTGGAACAGAGCTTTTCACCGTGCCTGCCTCGGACTTTACTCTGTTGACTACTACTCTCTGTGTTCTGTTAGTTAGTTAGTTTAATATGTTTATTATGCACCCCATACCCATCCTGTGGGCGGTAGTCAAAAGATTACAGAGGTACATAATTGGTCCAGGGACTGGACTCCAAAGTTTTGATAGCTGAGCAAGTTACAGAGGTAATGAACTCACAATTTACAAAGGTAATGAACTCACAATTTACAAAGGTAATGAACTCACAATTTACAAAGGTAATGAACTCACAATTTACAAAGGTAATGAACTCCAGGTAAGTCTGGTCACAATCATGACAAGTTACAAAGGTATTTACAGATTACAGAGGTACGTAATGGGTCCAGGGACTGGGCCCCCAAAGTTTTGATAGCTGAACTAGGTACAAAGGTAATGAGCTCACAAGTTACAAAGGTAATGAATTCTGTAGAATGGTTACTTACGTTTATACTTTGGCTACAATCATGAACAAATTATAGAGTAATGAGGAGTAGTGAGGAAATTATAGATCCATCGACCGACTTTTCCTGTTATTCCTTTAGCACGCATTTTGTGCGCTATTACACCATGGTCACACTTGTCGAAGGCTTTTGCAAAGTCTGTATATATTACATCTGCATTCTTTTTGTCTTCTAGTGCATCTAGGACCTTGTCGTAGTGATCCAATAGTTGAGACAGACAGGAGCAACCTGTTCTAAACCCATGTTGCATTGGGTTGTGTAACTGATGGGTTTCTAGATGGGTGGTGATCTTGCTTCTTAGGACTCTTTCAAAGATTTTTATGATATGGGATGTTAGTGCTATCGGTCTGTAGTTCTTTGCTGTTGCTTTACTGCCCCCTTTGTGGAGTGGGGCTATGTCTGTTGTTTTTAGTAACTGTGGGACGACCCCCGTGTCCATGCTCCCTCTCCATAGGATGGTAAAGGCTCGTGATAGGGGCTTCTTGCAGTTCTTGATGAACACGGAGTTCCATGAGTCTGGCCCTGGGGCAGAGTGCATGGGCATGTCATTTATCGCCTGTTCGAAGTCATTTGGCATCAGGATAACATCAGGTAGGCTTGTGTTAACCAAATTCTGTGGCTCTCTCATACAAAATTCATTTTGATCTTCGACTCTGTCTGGTTAGTGGCTCGCTAAACACTGAGTCATATTGGGACTTGAGTAGCTCACTCATTTCCTTGCTGTCATCTGTGTAGGACCCATCTTGTTTAAGTAAGGGCCCAATACTGGACGTTGTTCTCGACTTTGATTTGGCATAGGAGAAGAAATACTTTGGGTTTCTTTCGATTTCATTTATGGCTTTTAGTTCTTCCCACGATTCCTGACTCCTATAAGATTCCTTTAGCTTAAGTTCGATGTTTGCTATTTCTCTGACCAGTGTCTCCCTATGCATTTCAGATAGATTGACCTCTTTTAGCCGCTTTGTTATTCTTTTCCGTCGCCTGTAAAGAGAGCGCCTGTCTCTTTCTATTTTACATCTACTCCTCCTTTTTCTTAGAGGAATAAGTCTTGTGCATACATCGAGTGCCACCAAGTTAATCTGTTCTAGGCATAGGTTGGGGTCTGTGTTGCTTAGTATATCTTCCCAGCTTATATCAGTTAGGACTTGGTTTACTTGGTCCCACTTTATGTTTTTGTTATTGAAGTTGAATTTGGTGAATGCTCCCTCGTGACTAATCTCATTTTGTCAGTCTGGGGCTCTGCGCATACATGTCTGAACCTCAATTATGTTGTGATCTGAGTATATTGTTTTTGATATGGTGACATTTCTTATCAGATCATCATTGTTAGTGAAGATGAGGTCTAGTGTATTCTCCATTCTAGTAGGCTCTAATATTTGCTGGTTTAAATTGAATTTTGTGCAGAGATTTAAAAGCTCATGTGAGTGTGAGTTTTCATCAGAGCTGCCTCCTGGTGTTATTACTGCAACAATATTATTTGCTATATTCCTCCATTTTAGGTGCCTTAAGTTGAAATCCCCCAGGAGCAAGATGTTGGGTGCAGGAGCTGGAAGATTTTCCAGACAGTGGTCAATTTTTAACAGCTGTTCCTGGAATTGCTGGGATGTTGCATCCGGAGGCTTGTAGACTACCACAATGACTAGGTTTTGGTTCTCGACCTTTACTGCTAAAACTGTGTGTGTATGCATATTATAAGTGTGCTTGTATAAAAAAAATTGACTGCTTATAGCAGCGATTCCTGTAGATTTGGGACCAGTTATCGCATATAATCTAGTTATACTAAGTTTTTAACTTTGTTAGTATAATTGCAAATTTACATCTACACAGCCTAAGTAGGGTATTATCCTTTTCATCAAATACATCAGTATGTAAAGGTTTGAAGCTGTAATGAATAAGACATGTGTAACAACTGGTATTGTGTAGCCCAATAACAAAGCAAATTTTCTTTTCAGATAAACATACCAGCACTAAAAGTTTGAAGCTGTCCAGAAGAAACATTCTTTAATTTTAATTGGGGGATGGAATCCAATGATTCCAAGTTTTTTTTAACCATATTAGCATACTGCCAACTTTGCACCTACACAAACTGAACTTAATATAACCTCTCCTCACTTACCGACGTACTCGTTTACCGACGACTCGGACTTACGATAGGCTCTATGACCAGTATGCATACCTAAATAATGTATATTAGAGCTGATTTCCTCTATTCTGTTTATTACAATATACTGTAAAGTACTGTAAAAACATTTAAAAATATATGTATACCAGAAATGTTATTAATTAATGGTGCAATGGTGACATTAAAACAGTATCAAAGATGGATGACACAAACCCACTACCATTATAGTATGCTCCTCACCTAGCAACGAATTCGTTTACCAACGTGGTCTTAGGAATGGAACTTCGCTGTTAAATGAGAAGAGACTGTACATATAATCATTCCCGTAAGATACATAACCCATTAATGAATTAAGGCAATCACAGTAGGTATAATTATCATATTTCATGGGAAAAAATATCACATCATATTAAAAATTAAATTGGCACCTACACACCCCAATTAAATTCCCAATCATCTTCTAAGTATGTAGGATACACCATTGTTAAAATTTTGAAGCTGATCAAACAGGTTTTCTGAACTTAATTCACAGAAAATAAATCAGAGAATGGGTTATATAACCTTGACCTCAGTGCACCTGCACATGTCAGTAGTTGGATAAACCTTGCCCTAATTATAGTACACCAGTATTATTAGTTTGAAGCTGATCAGAGAAAGCATTCTAAAGTTATAAACGAAAACTTGGTAAGAAAATAATTGGGCAACTATTTACAAGTACCCCAATGCAGATACCTATTAATCTACCCCCAACAATAACATTTAATGGTGAGGTTAAACCAAATAACTATTCTGAAGATGTTTTTGCCAGCCAGTGGCTTTATCAGTTTAATAAAAAAGTTATTTGAAGGTGTTGAAACTGGGGAGTTTCAGCGTCTCCAAGTAACCTCTGTACATATTGAATTGAAAAAGCTGTTGGTTGGCAAAACATCTTTAGAATAAAGATTACCAGGTGTTACACACGTCTTATTCATCATCTTGTAGGTATTGTATACCATTACTGCTACTAAATATCTGTCATTTCTAGAAGTTTTAGTTAAATTAGTCAGGACCTTGAATTCAAGTTCAAACTATGAAGTCAACCAACTTTTATTTGTAGGTGCACTATTATTTGTCACACCATGACAGTTAAAATTATACTGTATATAAGGACAGTTCCTCCTGGAAGTGCTCCTGCAACTTCATAGTTTTCATTTAAAAAATGCTACAGTATATCATAGTATTGTACAGTATGTCATATTCAGACTTTATAAGATGTTTAAAATGTATATTTGACTTGATGACACTAATATGCATGTACATTATCTCTCTCATTTTCAGGGTGATGATGCAGAGGACATGTGTGGAACAGCACTAGAGCCAGATCCTCGGTATCCAGACTGTTGCTCCAAGATTTTCCGTCCAGGCAGAGTGCTGCGCGACGTCATTGTGGGGTTCCTTGTTGTTGTGGCTGTTGCTATTGTTGTTGCAGTTCTGTTTGTTGTATGCTTCTACCTTTTGCAAGGTAAAGGATGCACCTGTAACATTTGTGGATTGTCACTTGGTTCTGAGTACATGTATTCTAGTATTATTTCCATAAAGGCAGCATCTCATCCTTAGAAATAATTTATATGCCAGCATTTCTTTAATATAGTAGTTTCAGCTAACATTAGCTGTTTCTTTTTGTTTGCTCTTAAAACAGATTTGCAGTTAACACCTTTATCATATTATTTTTACCTTTATTTGCACTGTCCCTAATTCCTTAATTATTATTGTGTATTTACTACCATTTAAATATTTGGTATTTATTTAAAAATAGTATTTGTGCCTTTCAGTAATTATATAGAAATGTGTACAGTAATTATACAGAAACATGTCTTTTTATTTTAAATTTGCAATTGTTTATTTTTCTAATTTGAGCTTCATGTTCTTAATTTCTTAGAGAACAAGACAGGAGAGACGACTGTGGGTCTGAAGGAAGGAGCATTTATTGGTAGTCCTGCAGAAGATGAGAAAAATCCTAATACCATAAATGAAGTTGAGTTTACAGATGATACAAGATATAATGTAGCCCCTGATCCAGTGCTGGGGAAAATCAGAGAGGAGGCTAATGAAGAACATCACCACATGGGCCCAACTCCCAAGTCTGAGCCAGAACCTGAAACTGTGCCAGAACCTGAAACTGTGCCAGAACCTGAAACTGTGCCAGAACCTGAAACTGTGCTAGAACCTGAAACTGTGCCAGAACCTGAAACTGTGCCAGAACCTGAAACAGTGCCAGAACCTGAAACTGTGCCTGAACCTGAAACTGTGCCTGAACCAGATGCCGAACCCAAGCCTGAATTAGAACACACTCAGGAGGAAAGTGATGTGCATCATGCACACACACATGATGGTGATGTACTCCACGGACACACTCAGGAAGAGGGCGATGTGCATCATGCGCACACTCATGATGGTGATGTACTCCATGGGCACACTCAGGAAGATGGCCATGATCACATGCACGAAGATGATGTAGGCCATGATCATATGCACAAGGAAGATATGGGCCATGATCATATGCATGATGAAGGTGATAACGGCCATGATAGTGTACACTCTGATAGTAAGGCTCGTGAACATACACATTCAGGTGGAGACATAGGTCCTGAACTTATGCTTCCAGATGGTGAAGATAGATTTAAAACAGGCCAGCCAGAAAGAGAATCTGATCTTGAAATTGTACCTGAAGAAGTAATCGATCATACTGTGATGCTTGAAAATAATGGTATGTACATATAATCTTAAATGATGTATTGCAAGATTTTATAATATATACTATTTTTTTTTTTACTTAACAAATCTAAGGCAATATACCTTTCAGTAGCAATCAGTACAAGTACTTGTACACTTTAGCTACTCTATATGTTGATTGTACGACATATTTGCAAATTCTGCAGCTTAATCTAAATTTGCTGTTAAAAACATCTACAGTATGTTTAAGATAGGATTTATAAAGCAAAATGTTTTACAAATGTAATAAAGTAATATCATGGATATACTTTAATAAGTGTGCTGTGGAAGGTGAGCAAAGTACAGTACTTTATGAAGTGGCTTGGAATTGTATTGTCTGCCCTGTGAAGGATGGGCTGGAACATCACTTGAAGTCTGTGCACTTTATGACAGCTTCAGGCTTATTGTTTTAGCTGTTTTTTGTAATTACTAAGGGATGTATATTATTATTATAATCAAAAAGAAGCGCTAACCCACAAGGGCTATACAGCTAAGGGATGTATAGGACCCTAGTAAATTTTATGGGATCATTTAATATTACTAATTTTATAAGTTTTAACAAATTCAGGATGTTTTTAAGCTTGTGTGATTGTATTCATTGATTTTCTAAGTGTTTGTACAAATAACTATTTTTAGAAGGTTAGTAAATTCTAAAACTTTTGTTTTCCCTTCTTTGGTGAGAAGTTGCAATGTTAAAATATTTTTAATCTGCTTTACAGGTCCAAACCCAGCATTTGTTCCTTCTACTCATCTTGAAATTGAAGACGCTCTTGAGGTGGTATCGGCACCATCTCTAGACACAACACCTACAGCTTCGCCCACAGAGCACCCTTTCATCTCGGTGTTCAGTGATGCTGGTCCCATCAGCAATACAGATGTCAAGATAGAGCCTGAAAATAATGTAACAACTCAATTTCCAGTTATGGTAGAAGAGTTACAAGGAGGAGGTAGACTCCCCCCCCTCTTAGATGCTCTCACTTCCCATCAAGATGCCTTCACCAATGCTCCAGACATTATCCCTGGGGAACAACAAACTGAAAACCCTGAAGAGCCCTTGATTGATGGTGCTTTGCAGGAAGTGTCATTCCCAGAGGAATCTACTGAAGAAGCACTTACATTAACTGAACCCCAGCCAGAGCTTCCTAGCACCACTGAGGAAAAAACATTAATCACAGATATAACTGTAGACAGCTCAGCAGTGACTGGGGAAGCTTCTCAAGGTAGGAACTACACTGGCAATTTGAAATGATGTATTAAATCTTTGCTTAATTAATGATATACTAGTCTTGACAATCTGTACAGTAGGCATGAAATGAGGTTACCAGTAGTATTCATCAAACACCTTAGTCTGGATATATTCTCACTGTTACAGAATTAATTTAATCACTGTACTCTTCTATTTTATTATAGGTACCTGCCATCATCGCCAACTGGAAATGTGCAGTAATTTGCCATACTCTCTTACTGCTTTTCCAAACTGGGTTAATGACCAAAATGAGAGACAACTTCAAGAATCCTCTCTTCCATTCTTAAGAGTAAGTTCAGTGTACTGTATTTTGTTTGGTTATCTTTACCTCAAATTGCTTAGCATGAAAATGTGTTTGTAGCGCTATGCCTTGCCTTACCTTAACTTGCCTTTTTCTGAGTCAAGTTGTAGAATTTACAGTAGTAAAATTAATATTCTGTATTAAATAAAAAATACATGCATTTTCATGACAGTTTGTAGGAGCTGTATGTGTTTAAGGAAGGAGCAAAACCTATTAAAATCATACAGCTATAGAAGGAATAAGTGCTTTATTACTCCGTAGAATTACATTAAGACTTAAACTGCCAGAATACAACCTGCCTAAAAGTTGTATACTGTTTTCATGTGCAGTTGCATAGACCTACTTCAGTTACTAATATTGAATGATTTATACTGTATAATATTTTGGTTTATAAAACTTCCATAAATAAATAATTTCGATAATTCTTGAATGAAAACTAAGGAACTGTTATGTCTTAACAAATCAGTTGAATACAAGTCCTTCTTATCATCAGGATGTGATTGTAAGATCACGTTGTTCACCAAGAGCACAAGAATATGCCTGTACTATCTTGGAACCTCCATGCAATGCTGATGGAACAATTCTACCTCCATGTAGGACATTCTGCAGATGTAAGATTTTTTTTTTTTTATTTATAGTGGTAGAAAACACTACTGTATATAATTGCCTGTGTGTGCACTGTATATTAGTGTAATTATATTATTCACAAAAGTGTGAATAATATAATTATATTATTCACAAAGTGTGCAGTTGCAAGTCCTAAATTCTAATCTTTTGGAGACTTGCTCCATCTGTATTAATGTTTAAAATTTTCAGAATTGTAATATTCTCACTGCTGTCCCTGTTCTCACTTGTTTTATCAAGATTTTCATCCATCCTGTAGTTGGTTCAGAATGACGACGAGTATACCAAAGACTCTGTGGTTAGAAAAGCAATTGTAGCTCAAACTTTTATTCATTCCATTTTCATAAGAACTGTACTGTAGTAACATATTTGAGAAATGCAGTTATTGTAAGTTCATTCATTTTACAAGTAAGCATACTGTTAAAAAATGTAATTAGACTCTGTAAATATAATGTTCTGTTTAAATTTTTGTCATTCTAAGTTTAAACATGCAGCTGAAATTTGTATCTGTAAAAAAATAATTGACATTACAAAGTATATTTCATTGATTTAAGAGAGAATAACTTGATAAAAAAAAACACATACAGCAGATTTATAAAATTTAAATTAGAATCTGTTAGGGAGTTAACATTAATAGCAATTCTCAGTTACATGTTCAATATCTCAGCTGTGGCCTCAACATGCCAAGAATTCATCATATCTGGGGTTGGTCCAAGTGGTGTATTTAACTGTGAGCGGTTCCCTGACTCCACTGATCCTGCTGTGTGTTTTGATATGACACAGGGTAAGTTTTCCACATCAGCCAACTCTTACCTTTCTACCTTAAATTTTCAGTTTTCACAAACTTTGCTTTTGATTCAAGAATTGTGTATTAGGTAATGCTCTGCATATGCATTAGCAAGATGTTGCTTATAGTGTTACTTCAATACCTATATGCTTGGCACTGCTCTGCTTACTTTTTTTTTTTTCTTTTTTTCATTTTGAGGTTGCTTTGTTTCAGTTTTTGGGAGCTTTAGTATTACAGGTATTTTCTTTTAAAAATTTCTCAATTTTTCATTTCCTCTGCATCCTCTATGGAATATTCATGCAGTACAGTGTCAAAATCTATGTGAAATATTTTGTGATTAAAGCAAGGTGCAGATAAATGTACTGAACGAGATTTGTTTGTTACCATATATAGATGAGCAATGCTTATTTTAAGGTTTGTTAAATTCAACACAAAGTTTACTACCCTGGGACATCGTTCATTTATTTCAGTATTGTATTTTTTTTTAAGGTACAACTTTGAGAAAAAATGTATAATTGTATAGCTACATGGGCTTTTTCAGTACCATTCTTGGATTTTTAACATAAAATGAGTTTGTATAAGAGTAAGAAAAATTGTGAAGTGCAGTATATTCAAACAAATATATATATAAGAAAAAAATTTGCAGTGAGATAAACAAGTTAAGAAAGCCTAGGGAACGAATGAATTTCAGTTAAAAACAGAGTAGGGGAGTTAATGGATTGGGTAGATGGCGGGAATATTTTGAGGAACTTTTAAATGATGATGAGGAAAGGGAGGCGGTAATTTCATGTACTGGTCAGGAAGGTATACCATCTTTTAGGAGTGAAGAAGAGCAGGATGTGAGTGTATGGAAGGTGCATGAGGCATTATGTACAATGAAAGGGGGGTAGAGCAGCTGGAACTGACGGGTTCGTGACAGAAATGTTAAAAGCAGGGGGGGGTGGGGGATATAGTGTTGGAGTGGTTGGTATTTTTGTTTAATAAATGTATGAAAGAAGAGAAGGTACCTAGGGATTGGCAGAGAGAATGTATAATTCCTTTATATAAAGGGAAGGGGGACAAAAGAGATTGTAAAAATTATAGAGGAATAAGTTTACTGAGTATACCATGAAAAGTGTATGGTAGGGTTTTTATTGAAAGAATTAGTCAAGACAGAATGTAGGATTGTGGATGAGCAAGAAGGTTTTAGAGTGGGTAGGGGATGTGTAGATCAAGTGTTTACATTGAAGCATATATGTGAACAGTATTTAGATAAAGGTAGGGAAGTTTTCATTGCATTTATGGATTTAGAAAAGAGATATGATAGAGTGGATAGGGGAGCAATGTGGCAGATGTTGCAAGTACATATATGGAATAGGTAGTAAGTTACTAAATGCTGTAAAGAGTTTTTGCGAGGATAGTGAGGCTCAGGTTAGGGTGTGTAGAAGAGAGGGAGACTACTTCCCGGTAAAAGTAGGTCTTAGACAGGGATGTGTAATGTCACCATGGTTTTTTTTTTTTTTATCACACTGGCCGATTCCCACCAAGGCAGGGTGGCCCGAAAAAGAAAAACTTTCACCATCATTCACTCCATCACTGTCTTGCCAGAAGGGTGCTTTACACTACAGTTTTTAAACTGCAACATTAACACCCCTCCTTCAGAGTGCAGGCACTGTACTTCCCATTTCCAGGACTCAAGTCCGGCCTGCCGGTTTCCCTGAATCCCTTCATAAATGTTACTTTGGTCACACTCCAACAGCACGTCAAGTATTAAAAACCATTTGTCTCCATTCACTCCTATCAAACACGCTCACGCATGCCTGCTGGAAGTCCAAGCCCCTCGCACACAAAACCTCCTTTACCCCCTCCCTCCAACCTTTCCTAGGCCGACCCCTGCCCCGCCTTCCTTCCACTGCAGACTGATACACTCTTGAAGTCATTCTGTTTCACTCCATTCTCTGGTTGTTTAATATATTTATAGATGGGGTTGTAAAAGAAGTAAATGCTAGGGTGTTGGGGAGAGGAGTGAGATTAAATTATGGGGAATCAAATACAAAATGGGAATTGACAGTTACTTTTTGCTGGTGATTCTGTGCTTATGGGAGATTTAGTTAGTTTAATATGTTTATTATGCACCCCATACCCATCCTGTGGGCAGTAGTCAAAAGATTACAGAGGTACATAATTGGTCCAGGGACTGGACTCCAAAGTTTTGATAGCTGAGCAAGTTACAGAGGTAATGAAGTCACAATTTACAAAGGTAATGAACTCCAGGTAGGTCTGGTCACAATCATGACAAGTTACAAAGGTATTTACAGATTACAGAGGTACGTAATGGGTCCAGGGGCTGAGCCCCCAAAGTTTTGATAGCTGAACTAGGTACAAAGGTAATGGCTTATGGGAGAGTCTAAAGAAAAGTTGCAAAGGTTAGTGGATGAGTTTGGGTGTGTGTGTAAAGGTAGAAAGTTGAAAGTGAACATAGAAAAGAGTAAGGTGATGAGGGTATCAAATGATTTAGATAAAGAAAAATTGGATATCAAACCATACCACGGGCAGGATTTGAACCCGAGGTCAGAGAGTCTCAAAACTCCAGACCGTGTCATTACGATTTCGTGAGTCATGTTGGATATCAAATTGGGGAGGAGGAGTATGGAAGAAGTGAATGCTTTCAGATACTTGGAAGTTGACGTATCGGTGGATGGATTTATGAAGGATGAGGTTAATCGTAGAATTGATGAGGGAAAAAAGGCGAGTGGTGCGTTGAGGTATGGACAACACACTTCTCATACCAACAATAACTAAACCAACCAGGCTCACTGAAACAAGTGCAACCATAATAGACCACATATGGACCAATATACTAGCTCCCCTTAAATCAGGGATAATCACAGATAGCACTACAGACCACTACCCTACCTTCCTCTTGACAAAAATTAGTAAACCACCACTTGAATACAACAAAGTGTCATTTAGACTCCATGATGAGGCCTCAGTAAGGAAGTTCACAGCTGACCTAGAGACTGTTGACTGGCCTACAGAATTCTCCAAGGCCAATGGTATTGACGACTGGACAGACATTTTTCTTAACAAACTACTTAGACTATACAACAAACATTGTCCTATAAAAACGAAACAGATCACAAACAAACGGCTTGGTTGCCCATGGCTAACCAGCACCATTCTGAAATCCATTGATAAGAAACACCAATATGAAAAGCAATATAGACAGGGCTTAATACACAAAGATATTCTTAAACACTATTCATCAGTCCTCACCAAAGTAATAAAGAAAGCCAAACAACTATACTACTCCAGTAGATTCACTGACACAAGAGGAGATATAAAAAAAGACCTGGAAAACACTCTCTCAGATTCTAGGGACCCACAAACTGAAAAAAAAACAAGAATATTGTCCTAACTAAACCTAATGAAACACCACTGCAACCCACCGACACAGCTAACAAGATAAACAACTTCTTCTCAACCATAGGTTCTAATCTCACCAATAAAATCCCACGTACCAATGCCCATGCTGGGGACTACCTAGATGGGAATTTCCCAAATTCCTTCTATCTTGCTCCAACTGAGCCCACGGAAGTCACCGAGATTATAAAGTCACTTAAAAATAACTCAGGGAATCTGTCTCATGTCCCACCATTATTGTACAAGAGAGTGGCCCATGTCCTCTCACATACTATCTCATTGCTTTTTAACAAGTCACTAGAAGCTAGCACCTTCCCGAAACTACTCAAGACGGCAAGGGTTACATGATGGTGGTGACCCTACAGATTTAAACAACTATAGGCCAATATCAAACTTACCATTGCTATCCAAAATCTTTGAGAAACTCGTGCACAGGAGACTATATTCATTTATAACGTCACAAAACATTCTCAACCCCTGCCAATTTGGATTCAGGAAAAATAAAAGCACTAACGATGCAATTATAAAAATGCTAGATCTGCTTTACACAGCATTGGAAAATAAGGAATATCCACTAGGAATTTTTATTGACCTAAGAAAAGCTTTTGACACAGTAGACCACGGCATCCTACTCCACAAACTTGACCATTATGGTATAAGAGGCCATGCGCTTGCATATTTCAAATCTTACCTTACTAATAGGTATCAGTATGTCACCATTAAAGACACAGCATCAACAACACAGCCACTTGATACTGGAGTTCCGCAGGGAAGTGTCCTTGGTCCCCTGCTCTTCCTCATATACATCAATGATCTTCCAAACGTATCTCGACACCTGAACCCCATTCTCTTTGCTGACGACACGACTTATGTCATCTCTCACCCTAATCTTGCAACCCTCAACACCATTGTTAATGAGGAGCTGATCAAAATATCGACTTGGATGACAGCCAATAAACTTACGCTTAACGTTGACAAAACCTACTACATTATGTTTGGTAGCAGAGCAGGAGATGCGCAAATTAACATTAAGATCGACAACACTCTAATTACCAGGCATAATGAGGGCAAATTCCTAGGCCTATACCTCGACAACAACCTGAACTTCAGCACCCATATCCAACACATAACCAAAAAAGTATCCAAAACGGTTGGGATCCTCTCCAAGATACGATACTACGTGCCGCAAACTGCCCTTCTCACACTATACCATTCACTTATATATCCATACCTCACCTATGCTATCTGTGCTTGGGGTTCAACTGCAGCAACACACCTAAAGCCAATAATAACCCAACAAAAAGCCGCAGTAAGAATAATCACTAAATCTCATCCCTGGAAACACCCCCCCCCACTCTTCATAGATCTAAACTTACTCCCTGTTCAGTACATCCACACTTACTACTGTGCAGTCTACATCTACAGGACCTTAAATTCCAATATTAACCTTGACCTAAAACACTTTCTTGATAGTTGTGACAGAACCCACAGGCACAACACCAGACACAAACATCTCTATAACATTCCCCGTGTCCGACTAAACCTTTACAAAAATTCAATGTATGTCAAAGGCCCTAAAATCTGGAACACCCTAC